CCGTCCAGCATAGTCCGTACAGTGTCCGTACGGTACTGTTCACCGTCCGTACGGATCACTGTTCACGCCGGACCGTACGGACGCCGCGGCTGTCACCGGCACCTCGCCGGCCACCGTCCCAGCCTGTCCGTACAGTGTCCGTACGGAGTGGTACTGTTCACCGCGTCCGTACGGGGTACACTGTTCCGCCGTCCGTACATCGCCGGCGACGCTGCTCCCGCTGCTGCCGCTGTCCCGGCCCGTTCCAACCCCGTTTTGTCTCGCCTTTTTGGGTAAGTGTTTTCCCCAAATGTCATTTAGGACCTCGGGTATTTCTAGACTCGTTTGAAGTTCGGTTTAAGTGATTTTAGGGACTGTTTGTAGTGTTTCGTGGCTGTCTTCGGGACTAAGTTAGGGGTTGAATGTTTGGAGGTTGTGGGCTGATTGGGCGACGAAATTCGAGGTTTAGGAATGCTGAGTTAGGGCTGTGATGTCGAGGATCGATCGGGAATTAAATGGGTGATTAATTGGAAATGTATTGGCTTGATTGGGTTTATCGGATTAATTGTGTAGTTTGCGGTCATTGGCTTGTTCTAGTTTGTGCTTGGGCCGAATGTGATGTGGTGCTATGCCGTGTGTGTGGCTGTGAGGTGTGGTGGCGTGGACATGTGAATGTACATTGAGTTCGTGTGCCGAGTGTGGGTGATCATATGGTGTTCGTGTGATGAGAATGCGTGTTTATGAAGTGTACGTGAGATGTGAATTTGGTGCGTGGCTATGTATGTGTGAGGCGTATATGTTTGGCCGTGCGTGTGCTGGTTGTGTGTAAGTGTGGTTTGAGTGGAACGAGGGTACGGAAATGTGGTTTGGTTGGAAAGGTCCGTCCTGAGGCGTGTACGTTTACGCGGGACGATGCCGTCCCTGACGAGGTGACGATGCCCGGCCTGACGAGGTGTCGATGCCTGACGTGGTCAGAAGACCGTTGGCCTGATGCGTTTTACGCGGGCACGGTAGAAGGAAAGTGCGTGTAGGATTCCGTCCTGAGGCGTGTTCGTTTACGCGGGACGATGCCGTCCCGACGAGGTGACGATGCCCGGCCCGACGGGATGACGATGCCTGACGAGGTCAGAAGACCGTTGGCCTGATGCGTTTTACGCGGGCGCGGTAGTGGTGGAAAGGTAGAAAATGAGTGGGATTTGGCAAGACAAGCGAGAGGATTGTGGAAAGTGACGCATGGTGTGAGTAGCGTGCGAGTGTGTTTGTATCGCGTGATGTGATGCTTAATTGTGGGGTAGAAACTGCTAGGCACGGTATGGGACGTGCCCAAGTGGTTTCTGTCTTATAATTAAGGCACGCGCGCGTATGTGATTCCTTGCTGTGATGTGTTGGTTGTGTTATTGTCTAACGTGCAGGAACGTGTGTGATGGATTCCAGGTAGGGTCGTTTGTGATTGTTAGTTTGGCCGATCGTTGTGTGTTATGTGTGTTTTCATCTGGCGGTACGTGAGTGCCTACGTGGGGTTTGGGGTTGTACACTTATTGAGATTCGTCTCACGGTTGTATAACCGCCACTTTCAGACCCCCGGCCCTAAACCCGGGAAGTGCGCCTTTTCTTTTTGGAAGTCCAGGGAGCTACTGTTGGTGCCCAGTGGAGCTACAGGTGAGTTCCAGAAATTCAAGCCAGAGATTCAGAAGCAGACTGGAGGAGGGCGATCCTTAGGTTTTTCCTTAAGATTTTTGGGGGTTGTGTAAATCGGGTTGACCCATAGGGAAGTTAAGTTAACCAGACCCTGATATTTTGTTGACGGTGATTTCGGATGCTAGTTTGTTAATTATGCCTGTAATATGATGTATGAATATGTGGTTCTTTGGATTGTTACATTGTTCTACCCCGTTGTCGTCATTATTTGTCCGGGGTTTTATTATTCGCTTCCGCATGTGGCTCGATGTTTGGGTTGGGTCGGCGACGTTCCTGGGACATCGCATCATTTCGACCGGAGCAGGGGATGTCGCGAGCTCGATGGGGTTCGGGGCGTGACAGGCGCGGTGAACGGCGCGGCGGCGCGGTGCGGCACGGCGGGAGGGAGAGAGAGATGGCCGGAGAGGGGGGGATGCTCACGGTGGGGGGGGGGGGGAAACCGAATGAGGGGAGAAAGGAGAGAGAGAGAGATAAGCTTGGACCTAAATAGTCCATTTTGACCAAAAGGGAGAAATGACGATCTTGCCCTTGTCTAATCTTTTGATCAACGGCCCAGATTCGATCCTATCTAGAAACCAACGGCCGAGATTGAATCTTACCAAAAATATCCAAGGGTATTTTAGGAATTTCATAAAATTCCAAGGGCAAAATTGTCCAATCCAAAAAGTTAGGGCAAAATGACCAAAATGCCCTTGCCCAATATAACTAACCCTTTATAAGTCCTTAGGGGCAAAATGGTCACTTTCTTCATTTCTCATCGAAATCGAATTTTTCTAAAGGAATCGGGACCGTCCAAAATTACACGTTCCATCTGCAACATCGTCCTAATGTCTCGTTGTGACTTCCAAATTTTTCCGATGTCCAAATTGGGCTAAATTAAATAATCAAATTTTATTAAACGCAACTCGAGCGTTTCTCGAACTAACGAGCGGCTGGTTGGGAAAATTCGCATATTCGACTCGTGACTGACATTAATTCAGGTGACGTGCAAGTTCATCCAGTTCGTGATAACTTCAGTTGTCATTAAAATCGCAACAATCAATTACTAGATCCGAGGGGCACAATCGTTTGGTATAGGTTCAGGATCATTCGTCAACTCATTTCGCGGTCCGGCGGAATCACCCGCGATCCACTACTATGACAATGGCGAGTTGACCCCTAACTATCCTTGGATCGGCCAACAGTAGCTCAAAATATCACCTCGACGATTTCATGGTCGAAAGTTCATTCACGATCGAATTTTCTTTAGTAGTACGAATTTAAATCCCTAATTAGCCTTTCCCTACTGGTTAATATCCCAGGAATGATCAGTTCCAGGTGAGAACTAACTACAAGTACATTCATAAAACTCAGTATTTTATAAATCCCAAATGGACTAATTTTCAGGATGTCACATATAATTAAGTAATTCTTTATCAAAACAAGAATAAGAGGGGGTTGGGTGGATTGATAAAGAAGAAAGTAGTGACAAGCCTTTTGTTGGACCATAACCTCTGTTGTGGTAGGGCAATGATGTTATCCACTGGTAACACGAAAATTGTTAGGGGACGATAATGCAGATAGTCTCTAATTTTTGCCTAATATGCAATGTCATTTTTGAATTTTTGTTTGGTACAATTAGGTCCCTTTCATTTTTGAATTTTTGGTTTCTTAGTTTGTCCGTTTATTAGATCTATTAAATGGGTCTTAAACCCATATAAAAATAAATGGGTTATATATGGGTCACTTCAATTTTAAAGAGCCCATCTTAAATGGGTGTTAAAGTTTTAAACCTATCATAAATGAGTCTTAATGGGTTAAGTGTGGAACCCATTTCCAACCCACCCATTAAATCCACACACACTTTCCTCCTTTTTTAAAAAAATCGAAATTATTTTTCTCTTTTTTCTTTTCTTTTCTTTCTTTTTTCTTTTTTTTTCTTTTATTTTTTCTCTTTCTCTTGATCAGCCATCGACCACAGGGGAGGGACAACCATGTCGAAGGCAGGCGAGGCTCCAAGCTCGCCAGCCTTGGGCGAGCTCCATCTCGTCGATCTGGCGAGGTCGGCGAGGTCGAGCTCGCCTAAGGCTCACGAGCTCAAGTCTCACCCAATCAACCTCGCCCAAGGCCGGTGAGGCCAAGCTCCCTCTATTACGGAGAACTTGAGGCCCCACCGATTTGGCGAGACTCGAGCTCGCCGGCCTTGGGCGAGCTTGACCTCGCCTGTGGCAGCCGACCACCGGCCAAAAATAAAAGAAACAAAATAAAAATAATTAAAATTCGATTTTAAAAAAAATAAAAAAAATATTAAAATCATTAAAATGATTGGATGAAGTAAAATTAAATCAGATTTTATATACCAAATGTCGGAAAATATTTTCTAGTTCATTTTTAGGTTTCAGCCAAACACTGGAAATTTTTTTATTTTCTTGGAAAATGACTTCATGGAAAATATTTTATAAAAATTTACATTTTTCACAAAACAAACAAAACCTAAAAATTGTTTACTAGCTTTGTATTGTATGAAAATGTTTTAGTAGTTTAATTTTTAAAAAAAATCATAAGAAACAAGGTTTCCTAAATTGAGTTAAATATAGAAGTGTTTTAGTAATATGGGTCGGGTTAGGTATGGGTTGGGTTGGGTATGGATCGGAATATTTACATTACAAATAAATGGGTCATAAACGGGTTAATGGGTTAATTTGGGTCAGATCATTTATGACCCGACCCAAACCCGACCCGACCCACCCGTTTAACAGGTCTACTGTCTATTATCCATATAACATGACCTCAGTTGAAAATTTGAGGATGAGAAAAGTGACAATTTTCCCAATTTAAAGGCTTTTCTTGATTGCAAGGATTTCACTGAACATTTTGAATTAGTTTAAGAACCCAATCGAATCAGTCAAAATTTCAGGAAAGATTTTAAGTATTGGACAGAACTTTTGGGACCTTATTAATCGAATCAATTGAAAGTTTAGGAATGACATAAAAAAGCAGACTCAAATCCTTTATTGAGCCATGACACTAGCAGAATAGATTTTTGCTTGTAGAGAAAAGTCACTTTTCTGGAAAATAGTAGTATTTTTGTGGTGCTTGCTTAAAATTGCATTGGAAATCCTTTCTCACTATTAGGTACGGAAAATGGCTTTTTACAGAAGGATTTTCCTTCCCAATGAGTCCCAAACTTATGCGGACGGTGAGCTTTGAAATCTAGTTTTGGCCTTAATATTTTCTTACTTCTTGCGGTCAAACCTCACAATTTCCCCCCCTTCTTCGTTCCTTTCACGTTGTGCACATTGAAGCCTAACACCTCAAATCCAGTCACAACCTGGCCACGGTGATCATGGAATTGTTGGATGGTTGTTTCCAGCGATGTCTGAGGTGGTAAAAGGATTAGTTTCAGGTCGTGGTGAAGGTTCATTGCCCTTGGCTTCGTGGTTGGTGGTAAATAGGAAAGTTAGCCATGGATGTATATTATAGGAAATAGGAATATTCTTTGCAAGCTGCCCTGAAAGTAGATCTGCACTCAATGATGCCCTTGTGTTGTGATCAAGGGTGGAGATGGGCTCGCTCCAATCGAGTTGGTTTGACGTCAGAATCTTCCTATTCAGAAAGTTTCGAAAATCAGGTTGGAACCACTCGCCTGCATAACGGTGACAGCCAGTTGCATCGAGGTATGTCTCAACCTTTCCGTCGTCCATGCTGTAAATCTTCTTCTTCTCATCCATGTAATCTGTGAAATAGATGTGGTTCGGCTTGATCCTGAGAAAGCAAGATTCGGGGTACTCTGCGTTGAACTCCACTGAGAAGGAAGAGTTATAATTTAAGAAGAGAGAAACGTTCCCCAGGCTCTCGACCTCTTCCTTAGTTCTCTTCTCCAAATCCACTTTGAGAACTTGGATGTTTTCCACAGGTCCATCGTTTTCGCCCTTTATCTTCCAAGCCACCAGCAATGAACCTGAACATTCCACGAGATTCCCACAACGGTGAAAATTCTGCCCTTGATCTAGTCGCAATTGCATACCACCCTTTCTCTCGTCAAGAGTCATTATTTGGTTGTCCGCATCCAAGGCGACAAATAGCCCGTCGTAATGAATGAGTCCAACGACGCTGGACCAATGCAGATGCGTTGCTAGACTCACTACCGTCCACGCATCTTCTCCTGATCTGAGAAAGGTGAACCCTAGCTGTTTATGATCCCGAAAATGCCCGTGAAAAGAGATCATGGCCGTGTAGCTCCTGGACAAAGAAGGGCTTGAGGACAACGCAATCTTGTGGATTCTGTTGGGTCCGCACCGGAGCTTCTTTAGCACGTCAAGTTCCACAGCGAGAGGTGACTTGTGGCGAAGCCTCTCCAAGGAGGGGAGTTCGATGCTGACACGCGTAAGCGGATTGAAGATAAAGTCGCGGTCCCCCTTTGACGCGAGTAGCCATCCTGGGGGAGACATGGTCGCAACTCGAGATGCTAGCAACTGGAAATTTCTTCCTCTAGAGGGGCTGAAGAACTCAGCTATTTGCTTGCGCACATAAGTCATGAACCACGGGGCTCTCGACATCGCCTTGTACGTATCTTTGGTGGCAGCAGACTGCCATGAGGTGCACACCCCTCCAAAAGCTAAAAAGTCTTCTGGGGCTGGTCGACAAGCGATGAGTTCTAGGATCTCTCGTGGGAGTTCTTCCCAATTCGCCATTACTTGGTCGTAGATTGAAAGATCAATTTGACTGGTGTGCAACTTCTCTGATGAATTTATTGCTCAAAACAGAGCGGCGGGTCCTTTCTTATGTGAGGAAAGACAACTTTTGGGGGATTCAGTTTCCTTTTTGGTGTAGGATTATACATTCAATTTTCTTTGCATTTAGGTGGTACTAAGCTAAAAGCTTAGGAAAGTATATTTAAACAATGCCATAGAGTTACGCATTCTTATCGTTTTCACTCACTCACAATATGAAGAAAAAAGATGGCTTAGATAGTGAGAGAGTGGAAAAAGTAGGGGAATGTATAATAATAGTTGATGAAGCGGAAAGGAAAGTGATGAAGATAGTGGGAAAGTAAAGAAAGTGCGAAAATAGAAAGATTGCCACAATATCCTTCAAGTGAGTCAACTCATTATTATTATTATTTTTTAAGTCAACTCATTAATTAAAGTGAATATATTATCGAAGGGCATAGCAGGGAACTCCATGACCAAATTTCTGAAAAATAGTTAAGATATTTAATTTTATTCAGAAAGAAGAGATTAAATGGATGTAATTTATTTTAGGTGTACTTATTTATATTGATGTTGTCTTATACCTTTTTTTAATTTGGTTATTATATCCATAAACAATTGAAGCATTGGCTTACAATTAACTTGATTAAAGTTGCAAGACGTGAAGAACAATCGCGTAAGTATTTAATAAGGGAGATGAACGCATGTATTTTTGTCCATCCAAAATATTTGATCAATGCTGACTCCAAAAAATCTGATGAAACAAATCCCGATTCTTACCCACATTAATTATTGATTAACATGATGTTATATGTTTACATTATGGGTTCTACGGATGCAACTTTTTTAAAGTCTGTATTATTTTTTTAAAATTTTCACAAAGGAAGCAAGACTTCTACTTGTTGTAAATGCATTACTTTCTTGTAACTACTAGTAACCATGATCGTTGCACGTGGAAATTACTTTTTCCATAGATAATGACTATCTTTTAAAGAAAATATGCGACTCTTACTTGAATGGATATACAGTTCCTCTAATAAATATTACCCTTAAAAAGAAGATATGGCTCTATTAATTAACTTTGAAATGCATTAGTTTATAATAGCAAAAGATGCAGAGAAATAAATCTATCATTATAGTTAACTAGTTAACAATCACGAGCGTTGATGTCCACTCTTCGTTTGAGCAAGTTTAAAATTAAAAAAAAAATCAATACAAAAACTACGTCGTACGTGCATAGTAGATATTTATTCTATTTATATTAGAGACTAATAAAATATTTATGAGTTGTTTTTATTTGTCACACAAAATATTATATTATCGAAGCACATAATTGTCGCGACCTACCCGTCCCGATTGGGGGAGAAAAAAAATTAATCGGTATAGGTCAAGAGATATTTGTCGATGGATGTGAACATCGGTTGATTTGTTTGAAGGACAAACCAAAAGGCTCATATCCAAAAACGGAGACGCTCCCGAGCCTCATACCTCGCACGACAAGAATTGTCTAATTTATGCATTGAATTAAAGTCGCCACTAGCCATAAGTAAGGATTGATTAGAAACCCTAATCAAGATGCGAGAGTGTCGTCTCGATACGTGCGAAAATTAGATATTCTAAGAATCAGGGATTTGATTACACTAATGATTTGACTAGTGTCCTTTTGGTACCTAAATTTGATCACTTGCTAACTAACGCACCAAGGCAATCTATTGAGAAGCCTAAAATCCATCATAACCATGCTAAAAATGTAACAACTAATGTATTAAAAGTGCGCAACAAAATAATTGGCATGAAAATAAACAATCAGTGACCTAGCATCGTCTCTAAAAATAAAAGACAATCAAAAGCTCAAAGGTAACCCCTAATGGCTTGTTCAAATTTTCGGACAAATTTTTAAAGGGTTTTTTTCATTTTTTTCCTGTTTTTTAAACTAAATCTAGAATGAAAATAACACTAAAACCTAACGAAATTAACCCAAAAACTAATTTCTAAACCTTTCCCAATTCAGAATTTTTCTGAATTTTTTTAAAATTTTTAATTATGGAAAATGGACTTTGGAGTATGTCGGGTAGGGGTGTCAAAACCAAACACAATACCCGAACCGAAACACGAACCGACCCGACCCGAACACGAAATTTTCTTATTGGGTCGGGTTGGATCTCAACTTGTTTGGGTAACAATAAAAAGAATTGGGTATTGTTTGGATCTATTGGGCTTGGATACCCAAGCCAAACCCAAACAATAAGCCAACCCAAACAATAACCAAAACCCTTAAGATCCCTCCTCCTCTCAGGATTCTGCCGCCGACTTCTTCTTCCCCGATATATAAATTGGAGAACACCAGGAAGAAATAAATCACCAAACCACCAAACATAAAACTATACCTCGATATATAAATATACAACATCTAATTCTTTACAACCAAACACTTCCAACACCCATCAGATTCACATCAACTGATAGTACACACTCGAACGGATTTCCTGATTACACCACCAACTATTCACATCAAGCACTCACTAATTTAATATCAAACCTATAATACACGCACACCAACTGGCTTCTACGGATCGCGTCCTCGACCTCAAAAGGGATTAGCAGCCAAGGTATATTCTACTCCTGAATGCTCGGTGTGCATCGGGATCCCAAAAAGCTGCGGCGAAAGGTTCAAGGCTCGGGCGGATGCTTTGAAATGGTTTTGTTGAAACAACCATGAGACACTTCTCAATAAGTCACAACTTAAACCCTACCTAGGCTACCACGTATTCCAAACAAGTTTAGACACACAAACGAGCAACACGAACAAACACTATCCATGCAATCACACTTACCTGGACTCTTGGCATACTCAGCCTGCACGTTAGTTCATAATCACGACATTCAAAACTCGCACGCATTTCAAGCTTCGCGCACCCCAAACCACACACATTTCCATGCCAAAAACACACATCAATCACGCACTATCACATCAATTTCATTTACTTTCCTCGTCGTACCCCACTTGCTCAATCACTTTCTCGGCCGGCATAAACACGCCTCAAGCCCACACGATCTCGCCCCGAGCATCACACGCCTCGGTCCGATCCCACTTTCTCTTACCATACCACACACCTCGTTCTCAATCACATTCCTCGCCCCGCGTAAACACGTCTCAGGCCCACACGATCGCGCCCCGAGCATCACACGCCTCGGTCCGATCCCATTCACGCGTTCTTTCCTCAGCCCGCGCCAAATGCGACAGGCCTACATGATCGAAACCCGAGCTTATAATGCCTCGGTCCGATCCCGGTCTCACCCGAGCTGATCGTGCCTCGGACCGATTTCATTCTCACTTTCTTTTCTCAGCCCGCGCCAAATGCGACAGGCCTACGCGATCGAAACCCGAGCTTATAATGCCTTGGTCCGATCCCACAATCATATCACAATCTCGGGTCAACACGCCTCCGGGCCATTTAGTGATCACATGCACATCGCACGCCATAAATTTCACACGCGTGCATACTCAGACATTAAATACGCGCACTCAGAGGCGCCCAAATCAATTAAATCAATTCAGCCACATCACAATATACAACCAACACGCATTTTGCCCTTTTTCCATACCAAAACTACGATATCTCACTCCCAGCCCTTCACAGCACTTTCACGAAATTTCGAGCCGGATCTAATGGCACCAACCACACACCAAACAGCACATCACAGCACTTAAAACAGCAATTTCAAGCCATCGATCGGCCTCTAAAAATCCACCAAATCTTCCGATTTCAATCCTAAGGCCCGCCAATCGAATCAACCCCTAAACTACACCAAATCACGTCCAAACGGGTCCGATAATACCCGATATACTAGGCGGGGTTTAGATTGCAACTTACCGGACTCTATACTAACTCGGCTAGAGTGTAACGGGGTGGCGATCGGCAGTCCGTGCGGCGGCTGGCGGCGGCGACGGCCTCCTTGCCGCGGCTCACGGCCACGGGAGAGGGCGAGGGGGACGGCAGTGGCACCGCGTGAGGGTAGGGGTACGGCGCGGTGGCGGGACGGCAGCGATCCGATCAAGTGGTGACCGGCGGCGACGGCTCGGCGAGGGGAGGGGCGGTCGGTGGTGAGGGAGAGGAAGAGAGAGAGAGAGAGCCGAGAGTTTGAGAGAGAGAATGAGGAGAGAGAGAGACTTTGGTCTTTTAAAAGTCCAAATTTGACCACTTTTTGGCTAATTACCATCTTGCCCCTCTCTAATCTTTTTAATCAACGGCCGAGATTCGATCTTATCCTGAAATCGACGGCCTGGATCAAATCTTTTCCAAAAATATCTAAGGACAATTTGGAAATTTCATAAAATTCCAAGGGCAAAATTGTCCAACTCAAAAGTTAGGGCAAAATGACCAAAACGCCCTTCCCTCTTAAAACTTGCCCTTAACAAATTCTTAGGGGTAAAATGGTCACTTTCCTCATTTCTCGCCAAAATCGAATTTTTCTGAAGGATTCGGGAAAATCCAAAGCTGTACGTTCCAACCACAACGTCGTCCTAACGTCCCGTTGTGACTTTCTAATTTTCCGATGTCCAATTTTGGCTCAAATAAATAAATGAATTTTATATAACGTAACTCGAGCGATTCTCAGACTAACGGGTGGCTTTTGGGGAAATTCGCCTATTCGACCCGTGACTGATACTAAATCAAGTCACGTGCAAGTCCATTCGGATTGTGACGACCTCGGTTGCCAATATAATCGCGAGGATTGATCGCTAGTTCCGATGGGCACGATCGTTCGGTATAGGTTCTGGATCATTCGTTATTTCATTTCGTGGTCCAGCAGAATTACCCGCGATCCACTACTATAACAATGGCGAACTGACCCCTGGCTATCCTTGGATCGGCCAACAGTGGTTCAAAATGTCACCTCGGTGATTTTATGGTCGAAAATCAATTCACGATCGAATTTTCTTTTAGTCGCACGAGTCTAAATCCCTAATTAGTCTTTCCCTAATGGTTAGTACCTCAGGAATGATCAGTTCCGGACGAGAACTAACTACGAGTACGTTCATAAAACCAAGC